GGAGCCAGAGCAGCAAATTGAGGTCTGTGAGCTTTTTCCCATCCAGAGCTTGCTCACGGCTCTGCTCCATGCTTCAAGAGCAGACCCATGCCATGTATTTCTAAGCCATCCTGCTGCAGAAAGGACAAGCTGAAGGATGGGGCTTCTTGCCTGCATATGAACTGGGCTACAGGAGCCAAAACAGGATGGAGCAGGCAGGGCTTCAGGCAGGAGGCTCCTTTAGTCAATTAATCCCCCCCCCCAACACCTGCTTTAAATGATCACAAGCTGGAGGGTATTCTAAGAGAAGCTAAGAAGAAGGTGCTGCTTTATCCCTGTGGCTTTGGATTTTCACAGGAATTCTGAGTATCCAGAAAGATTTTTACTCTGTGGAGACAATGTGCTCTCAGCATTCTTCTTTTCTTATGCCATTTCATCTCCCTGATCCCTTTCTCTCCATAACTGAGCTATGTCTGTCTTTCCTCAAACAAAAGCCTCCATAAAATAATCCAGTTCAAGCATTCAACCTGCGTTTTCCTCACTGAGATTTGGACAAGCAACAGTGCTCTTTTTCAACAGAAACCTTACAGAAAAAGTGTTAATTGCTGAAGATTTGGGGCTTGGTTTTGCTAACCACAAATGCAAGTGGAAACAGCATCATAGGATACGGTTGCGCTGAAAGCTGGCAGGTGTTAAATAGCACACCCAGGGCTTCAGCATCCTCTGGCTCCGCAGCTTTGTGGTGGTTTCTGACTAATAGGCACCAACTTCATTTTTACCTTTGAGGAGCCTTGGCAGATACTCGCTGAACACCCCTGGGCCTCAAGCCACACTAAGTTAAAACCTGAGTTAAACCCTTGGAGCCATAATCCATCCCACAAACTAATGTATCAAACGGGGCTGCTCCAACATCTTAAAAGCAGCTTTCCACTCTCTTGCATGTGGGCAGAAACCCTGTATCCTAATGACGACTATATGAAACTGCCTCTTTCATGTTGAGCAATTTCGATCCAGGACACTGAACTGGCATTTTATGTATGAAGTATACCTGAGGTTAGACAGGAGATAGTTCCTTCCAACCATCAAGAAGCAACCATGAGATGGTTGCTTCCAACAGGTCTTACTTAAAGGCCATTTAAACATCTCTTTTCTATACCCAGCCTCCTCTTTCCACCTCCTGATCTTTTTCACAGATAGGAAGAAGATATTGTTTGCTGACATGATGCATTTCTAGTACCAGATGCCCCAGTGGGATATCTATATGTGTGTCAGCTAGGAGAGGCAAAGCCTGGACCTGCTTTGGTTCTATTAAACAGAGCTGTTGGCTCTAGTGCACACATGATCCTGTGTCCAGGCTTTGCACATTTATGATACTGTGTGCAAGAAGTTGGTTATGAGGCATTTCAAAATCAGGAATGCTCCAGGTTTCCCTCTTAGCATCTGCAAAAAAAAAAAAAAAAAAATGGACAGCCGGGAAGCTCATGATTCTGCCAAATCTCACAACATTTCTGCTTATGGGAAGAACGCTTAAAATGAGAGCTTTTTCTAGCCCTTGTGCTTCCAGCTGAAATGACAAACCAGAGTGGCAGGACCTGGATACCTTGGAGGGAAGAGACGCCACCCAGAGGGACCTGGACATGCTTGTGAGGTGGGCTGATGCCAACCTCATGAAGTTTAACCATGCCAAGTGCAAGGTCCTACACCTGGGTCGCAGCAATCCCAGGCACAGCTACAGGTTGGGCAGAGAAGAGATTCAGAGCAGCCCTGTGGAGAAGGACTTGGGGGTGCTGGTCCATGAGAAAATGAACATGAGCCAGCTTCAGTGTGTGCTCACAGCCCAGAAAGCCAACCGTATCCTGGGCTGCATCAAAAGGAGCGTGACCAGCAGGTCCAAGGAGGTGATCCTGCCCCTCTGCTCTCGTGAGACCTCACCTGGAGTATTGTGTGCAGTTCTGGTGTCCTTAGCATAAGAAGGACATGAACTGCTGGAACAAGTCCAGAGGAGGCCACGAGGATGATCAGGGGACTGGAGCACCTCCTGTACGAAGACAGGCTGAGAAAGTTGGGGCTGTTCAGCGTGGAGAAGAGAAGGCTGCGTGGAGACCTCACAGCAGCCTTCCAGTATCTGAAGGGGGGCTATAGGGATGCTGGGGATGGACTCTTCATTAGGGACTGTAGTGATAGGACAAGGGGTAATGGGTTAAAACTTAAACAGGGGAAGTTTAGATTGGATATAAGGAGGAAATTCTTTCCTGTTAGGGTGGTGAGGCACTGGAATGGGTTGCCCAGGGAGGTTGTGAATGCTCCATCCCTGGCAGTGTTCAAGTCCAGGTTTGACGAGGCCTTGGGTGACATGGTTTAGAGCGAGGTGTCCCTGCCCACTGCAGGGGGGTTGGAACTGGATGATCTTAAGGTCCTTTCCAACCCTAACTATTCCGTGATTTTATGACCACAAACTGCAGGTGCATTTTCAGGTCAGTGAAGGGAGAACCACCTCTCCTCAGTCCCAGTGATGTAAAGTGCTGCTAGTCTAAACTCAATTAAACCAGCATTAAGTCAAGGACAACTGCACTGGGTAGAGGCCATATCATTCCCCCAGCACATTGCAGAGATGTGGCTGAGGCTTTCCAAGCAGATGCAATGCCATCACAGCGGCCATGGGGCCATGAGTAAGGAAGCGGCTGTGTCCTCCTTCTGCCTGTCTCAGGTACAAAACCTGAGATTTCCCATCCAGTGCCACCACCTGCCCCATCTCTCACATCTCCTTGCCTTTTCCCTGTACATCTGCTCTCCACCAACAGATCTGGAACCCACAGCTGGCAAGTGGGGCCACAGCTTGCCCTGCTCTCAAACAGAGATGTTTCTTCGTTGCAAGAGAACTTTTTGGGGTGGAAAGCGTGAGAAATAAAGGAAGCACAAGAAATACATAGGGGCTCAGAGGGGGTGATGCGGGGATGGTGTAGCTGGAGCAGGGCAGATGGGGAAGCCACCACCTCCTGTTTTTTTTTCAACCCTTTGCAGTCAGGCTGTCACCCCTGATGGCTTACCCAGCCCTCTACTTTCAAAGGACCCTTTGACACCAGTTTTTAGCCAGGGTGCAATGCACACCTTTCAGACCGGTCTTGGGCAGACCTTCTTCAGGAGTCTGGACAACAGGTTTGCCCCACAGAAACCCTTCCCAAACCTTGACAGCACGAGATTCCTTCCTTCTTCCTCTCAGCCATTAGATGTTCCTCTTCATTGCCACAGTGCTTGAATTCCCCCTCTGGAATGTCAGAGCCAGAACCCTGCAGGCATTTTGGGCTGTGCATCTCAGACCCCCGCTGGCGGCTCCCCCAGACCACAGGAACATGTGGTACATCGCAGGTAGCTTCTATTTTGGTTGAACAGAGGGTTATCAAGCATCAGTACTGCATGGCACAGCCAAATTCATCTTCTGAACAACATCAGACTCCTTAAAATGCCATGGGAAGGGAGAGGGGAGTATTTTGAAGGGCTGTTAGTACAACTTTTCTTCTTTGATTTTTATAAAACTCAAACCTGAGGACTGGATTTATCAAATATCTTTTCTGGCACACATGGCAAGAGGGAGGAAAAGAGATTTTACCCATATAACACAAAGGAATTAAAACACCTCTGCAGATCTTAAAATCTCTCTTACTCCTGCATTCACTAAGAAGCTGAAGATGAGCAGAGTTTAATTTTAAAGCCTTTGTTCTGCCCCTTTGAAACAAATACTCTCTTCCTTTTGATAATGATTGAAGTGCCAGCAATTTATTTTTTAAAGGAAAAGATCACGGGAATTTCTGAGCTCCACACCCCGGCTCAAGTGTAACTTTGTCCTTGCTGAGGTGATGCTCCTGTGATTTAACTACTGTATACTTCCCACCCCGGTAACACAGGGAACGAAAAGGTGTTGCTCCAAAATAATAAATGCAGTGGCAAAGAAATTACGGCTTTAGTAAATGCTTGATGTACCAACTTCCAACAGTGACTTTGTGACACTGACTCTGGTAACAGTGAATTTGGGTTTTCAGGAAGTTTTTGTGTGTGTGTGTGTGCGCTTTGGCTTTTAAAGAGGTTACTGCAGACAATGTTGTGGACAAACTTGAAGGTGTAAGGTTTTATTCTTCCTCTGCCACTACAGATAATGAAGTTTTATCAACTCCCTTTTATTATAGTAATCTAAAACTGTGCCATGTAATAGGGTCATAAACATTTAATGAAACTGAACGCTGTATGAATAAAACCAGAGAAGCTTTAGGATGGACAAACGGAGAACAAAAGGGAATCCAAGTAACTCAGGTGACTCTAATCCAGAGCCTCAGTAAAGGATGCTCCTCTATCCTCACCTCTGTGCTGGCATATAGCCTGGGCACCTCTTGCTTAACTCCCATTAGTGGGATTTTGCCCTGCGTTTAAACTTTACCATACCTAAAGTGAGGTGTTGAAATGCAGCCCTGATCTTTATGACTTTTTTTTTCCTACTGTTTCAACCCTTCCTGGTATGTTCTGCGGAGACTTTTAATGTATTGTTTCATCACATACTTAAAACGAAGTGGATGTTAATTACTCTGATGCCACAAGAAGCATAAATACTACCTAACTGACATTCACTGGTGCGTTTCAAAGAACAGATGTGTATTACTATAGCATGGCAGTTACATTAACTGTGCAATGACAATAGGAAAAACTGTTAATAAACATCAAACTCATCTGCCTTTTACCACAGGAGAAAAAAAAGAAAGTTCAAGTGTAGTGGAAAGTTTTGGGGGTTGTTTTTTACATTACCTTTTGCTCGCTTGGTCTAAAACCTTTTGCCACGGGAGGGTTTTGGGCTGAAGAAGAGCCCACACTCTCTAATTCTGGTTTTGTGAGAGGCACCTGTGACCCTGCTTTCCATAAGGTTCGCTTGCTGAGAAGTAGCTGATGTTTGACAAAATAAGATCACATGGTCTTTGCCGTGCCAGAATTGACTTACAGTGCCCAAACACAAGTAGGCATATGTAGGGGTAGGTTTTCTTACTGGCAAACATAAAGTGGCCAGAAATATTATAGTGTCTTTTGTGTAAGGGCTGTTTGATAGGAACTGCTTATGCTCAGCAATGTGAACCTCAGTTTGTGTGGGGGTTAAAATACACAGAGAAAAAATGACCTGGAGCACCCTGGTATTAGTGACTGTGGCCTTGGTTTCATTTGTTAAAGATGGTGGATGTTGGAAACTGGATTAGAATATGGCAAATAATATTATTCCTTTGTTATTCTCCATGTGTTTTCCTTTCACATAGCTTTTGCTGGAGACTTGTTTCTGTCCTGTCTTCAGTCCATTGCCATGCCAGCAGCTATAGACTGAAAGCAAGAATAAAGATTGCAGAAGGCCAAAAATCTTAATCAATTTTTTTTAAGCAGAAAATTTCAATTTTAACTAAAATAAAATTGTAGTGAAATAATTTCCATTCACCATGTTGGGTTTGTTTTGGTTTTGTTTTTTTTTTTTTCCTTTTGAGAAAATGGAAGACTCCAAATCCAGAACTATGTTTCCAAAAGCAGAAAATTTAAACTTAGGGTGGAGATTTTTCAAGTTGACTGGCAGATATGAAAATGTAAGGGGAAGAAAAAGCCCAACAGTTTGGGGGTTGGTTGGAAAACTTTCCAGCAAATTGCACATTCTGATATCTTCTGAGGTAAATTATAAAGGGCAGTCTTCAAGTACAATATACTTGCATAGTTATTTTTTTCCTGTTTTCATACTCTGAAATAATGATCTTGACAAATTTGGAATCATGGAATGGTTTGAGTTGGAAGGGACCTTAAAGCTCATCCAGTTCCAGTGGACACCTTCCACTAGAGCAGGTTGCTCCAAGCCCCCTCCAACCTGGCCTTGAACACTGCCAGGGATGGGGCAGCCACAGATTCTCTGGGCAATCTGTGCAAGTGCCTCAATTTCTCCTAAATTCTCTCTTTCTTCTATTTTTTCAATGTTAGTATGCATGGTGTAGGTTGTGGACCAAAAGGACTAATGTGATACAGAGAACAACCTGATGGAAATTTTATTCTTCATCTTGTAGGTTTCCATGTAGGTATACCACAGGTGGGCTTTATTCCCCCTCCTTTGTTTTAGTGAAAACGGGGAACAACATTGTGAAAAGGGAAGCTTTAAAAAGAATGTGTGATCTGGAAGTGTGAGTGCATAAATTATCAGAGCCAGCTCTGGAAATGTGCATTTGCAAGTGTTACGATCAAACACGTTTCCCAAAGCAAACTGTAGTAGTTGTAAGATAAATGGCACCCCAGAGGAAAGCAATAAATAGTACAGCCACACGCTTTACTACGCCTTCATTTGTGTACTTCCATTATGTATGAAAAGGTAGAAAGCAAGCTACAGTTCCAGAAAACCCTTTGATCAGTGTATTTATTTCTCAAGTAACTTTAAAAATAATATGAAAATAAAAACCCAAACCAGAAGAATCATTGAAAGGCTGGAAAGTGGTTGTGGATTTTAAATATGCATGAAGGGCAAAAGATTGGGATGAGTACACAATTTCCCTTGAAGCCTTACCCTGGTACCCATGATACTGCAAAAAATTATTAGATCACTAGAAACAAACTCTTTTTCTGCACCATATGTTGCCCTTTCTCTGTCCTTGCTTCTTGCGTATGTGGATTATAAAATCTTTGAACCTTTGTGTTCTGTGATGGTCATGGGAGACTCTTTCAGAAAATATTAAGTAGTGTTACTATTAACATGTGTGTGTGAAATAATTTAGATTGTAAGGAGCACTTCTGGAGCTCATCTAATTCAACCTCCTGATTTAAATAGAAAGAAGATGGGAACATGAGTACTAAGATACTGGCACAGTGAAGAGGTCTCACCAGGATGCAGTAGGGTGGATGTGATGTCTGGTTCGAAACACTCAATCATTAATAAGATCAGGGTTGTACATAAGCGCCATATCCTTCATGTGGTCTTGCAAAGCAGAGACACCCTGCTTTAACTTGCATCCAAACAGGACGGGTCTTTCAGGACGATGACCTGACAGCATAAAAGAGAACAGGGATGCTGTGTTCAAACATGTCCATGAAATTGGATGATCAAAATGAGTCCTGTGCCTCTGCAAACATACAGCCTCTTCTTGTGCCACCATGCTGAGAGCTGGAGCAGATTATCCTTCTTTGCAGACCTTGAATAAGCAAATACTCAGGATGGTGATGAGGTAGGTCCTTTATCAGCAATTGCTTTGAAAAATGAAACGTGAAAATTAAACAACATCTGTATAAGCAATTTTCTCCCCCAGGAATACCACTGTGTAGAGGCAAATCTAATCTGAATAAGGAAAAGAATATTCAAACCGAAGCCAGTAGAGAAAGCACATCATTTCTGTGGACATGAACTGAGGTGGAAACTTACCCATATACTCACATTCCCATAATTATCTAAGGCATAGCCTGAAAATCCCAGGACTCTTTATTGAACCTCTTCTTTCCCCTCCCTTTTTAACATAAAATGCAATTCACTGACAAATCCTTCTGATGTAATGGATTTTTACATGCCTGAAATCATGGCTAAGCTTTAAGCAAGGAAAATCAATAAATGCATGTATATAGCAGCTTAGGATTATTTCAGTAGTGTTACCACTGCACAAGGAAAGCAGGGGAGACATATCTGCTGCTTCAGTTCAGTGTTGAGAGTGACCCCTTGCTGAAGAGGAAGCTCAGGGAGTGGTGTACCCCTCAGTAAGGCCGAAGTGCATCCCCTCTGTCCTACCATTAGCCACTGCCTCTGGGAAATGGTGACATCTGCAGATGCATGGGCTTCATATTCTCCACATAACTACCTCATCCTCTGGCCATGAGACTGTGCATTGTAGTTTGGGAGAGACTGTAATTCAGGCAAGACTAGAAACCAAAGCGAGGTGGAAGAAGGAAGCTGCTCTCACATGTGGCCTTTAACTCATTAATTAACCAGCTATTAAACATCATCAAATAATCTTGTAACTTCATCAAGTTCTGCTAAAGCAATGCATGATGATGTTTTGCTCACCTGGAGAAGTTAAATAAAAGGAGGACTGTATATCATAGAAGCATAGGATGGTTTGGGTTGGAAGAGACCCCTGAAAGTAATCTAGTCCACACCCCCTGCAATAAGGAGGAACATTTTCAACTAGATGGGGTTTGCCCAGAACCACATCCAGCCTGGACTTGAATGTCTCCAGGGAAGGGGCATCTACAGTGAAGTCAGATTATTCATTTCTGTGAGGGGTCTCAAAAAAATAATTATTTAAAATATTAGATTAGCTTGCCTGTTCTTGAAAACCCTTGTGAGACAACCTGAATGTACGAATGTTCAGACAGGGAGAGCCCAGTTTACCCTGGTTTCCTTTTTCCTTTAAGGCTGAGCCAGCTTAGGCAGTAGCACAGGCAAGGAGAATGTGCACAGATGAAGCTGTTCACTGTTAGGAAACGTTCTTCCCTGTTTAACAACAGAAGTTACTCTATACTGTCTGGAAACCGCGATAAGAAACAGGACAGTGCTTTAGAGATACCATGCTTTAAATTTTGAATAATGTACTACTGGGATGTTTCAAATAGCTAAAGTGCAAACTGATCACACAGGCATAAAAGAGCACACTGGTTACATAAAATATAATAATGTACCCTTCAGCACAGTGACATGTTGCATGCAGAATTTAATGTACTATTTGAAATCAGTAACACATAAGAGAGTGGAGAAGAGTTTCAAAGACCAGACTGGAGAAAGGAATAATACCACAGAGTAGCACATGATGATATATGACATGTGGAGGAAGCTAAGGAATTAGATTGAATGTCAGGGAAGATTGAAGTTCTCCATGAGGAGATAAATATAATCCAAACCAAAGATATTTGGTCGGTAGGAGCTACTTATAAGGCAGTCGTGTTGGAAGTGCCTAAGTGGATAGCGAATCAGATATGAGCATGCAGTGAGATTGAAAAATAAATGTATAAATGCCAATTTAATTCTGGCCTGTGCTGTGACAGGGTGGCAGAAAGGGACTCTGCTTCATACAACACACAGGCAGAGTAGGAAATACTGTATTTGAGAGTCTAAATAAAGCTCCAGCAATTGGAGGTGAGTGTGAAAAGTAACAAGGATACCACAGAGAAATTTGGGACACAGAGACGACAGACTGCCACTGGAGCAGAATTGAGTAAGTGTGGCTGAGTGGCAACCAGAACACGGATGGCTGCTTGCAAATAGCTGTTGCAGGGAAGTGTGGTGGACCATGGGCACAGCAAGCCCAAGACTGAGCAAATGAAATGTCTTCTTGAATTTCAGGGAAAAAAATGGGTCAGTAAAGCTGGTCCATTATCCTACAGAAAGGGGTAGGAGCACTGTCACTTGTCATGTAAAAGGAGTTTATACAACTGATTCCCTAGGAGTGAAAGGGAGCTTGCGTGTTACGTCATGCATTGCCCCACTTCATGGCAGTGGGCTTTTGGGGCTACCACTGACAAAGCTGAGGTCATGAGCTGTAAGGAAGAAGGGTTGAGATGGGCTAGAAGGTTGATCCACTTCTCGTTTTCTCTTGTTCTGCTCTGAAGCAGGATTGCTCAATAGCTCCGAATGTTTCAAGTACTGGGGGTGGCCAGTGGGTGTCAGTTTTGCTCTATGAAGCAGCTGATGGAGCTTCCCTTATCTAAAGTAAGAAACTGTCTCTTAAAGGAGGCAGTGGGAAAAAAAAGCATTCCCGTGGAGAAATATGAGGTCAGCCCCATAGTTCGGCATTTTGGTTTCTTCATAGCTCTGCCTGAGCAGCCACAGATAGTAATTCTTAGAGAAGTCGTCATCTTGGTTTCTCCTCTTTCAGTAACTCTGATTTTAGAGCAAGGACAACTAAGTGACCGTTTTCAACAGAGCCTCTGTCTTACAAAAGAAGAAGCCACCATCTACAGGCAGCTAGACACTTTATTTTAAAGGCTCATATGTGCAAATGTGCAAAAGTCTGACATGAGCTATCTACAATAACCTTGCTGAGAGTCATGGTTTTGTTGCCAGTCAATGAAGACAACTCAATATAGTGTAGAAATCACTTAAAAGATCCAGTCAATGCTCAAGACGTATAGCTACTTTGGATGCAATTTCCATGGAAAACATCTTCACATTTTAAGGATCGTTTTCAACAGCTATTTTTAACTACAGAGCCAAATGTAAAATTATACCCTTGTTGAATTAAAACCCATCCCGACAAAGCCAAACCAGCAGCAAGCCACTACAAAAAAAAAATGTTTGCCTTTCTAATGCAATGAGTAAGCTGAGACCTGATACTTCTATAGGGCTTCATAAGAAACGTTTGCATGAAGAAAGTTTT